GATTCTACTCTCTAGTCTAACTTAAAAGAAAATATGTGTGCTGAAATGAATGTGAACAAAAAATATAAAGATGAAGCTGCTGATTCTTGCTTTGGGGAGAGAAACATTTTACTTGACAAGTACTCATTCTTTTCCTACATTCACCCTTCTAAGAATAAATTAGTTTGTTGTATCTTTTTGCTTTCCAAAAATACAAAAATCAGTCACAAATAGATCCTTGGTGCCTGGTGGTCTCACCAGTAACTACATATCTGAAGATAGTGACTCCCTCACTCTCAGAATCTTTCAGCAGGGATGGGCCCCAAGAGCCCCTTGCCCCACCTGACTGGCTATGGGAAGGTTAAGTTTTGTGCGGACAGCATTAGTTTTAGCACCTTGAGCAACCAAGCCTCTGTATTCATTGTAAAGAGAAGCTTCCCTAATTAATACCGAAAGCAGCTTACAATCACCATTTTGGTGACATTTAAGTGATTTCTCGTGGTGACTCTAATTAGTATTTCCTTAATGACCAATGGTGTTGTGCATCTTCCATGAATGGAGTAGCCATTTTTTGTTTTCCTTGTTTTTGGGTTTTGTTGTTGTTGTTGTTGTTGTTTTGCCTTTGAGACAGAGTTTCTGTGTAGCTTTGGAGCCTGTCCTGGAATGAGGTCTGTAGACCAGGCTGACCTCGAAATCACAGAGATTCACCATCTCTGCCCCCCAGTTGGTTTGTTATTTTAGAGGATATTTTAAAGGGTGTGTGTGTTTGTGTGTGTGTGTGTGTGTGTGTGTGTGTGTGTGTGTGTGTGTGTGTGTGTTGTACAGGTGTCCAGAGAAACCAGAGGCATAGGATTTCTTGGAGATAGAATTATGAGCAGTTATGAGTTGCCTGGTGTAGGTGCTGGGAACCAAACTAGGGTCCTCTGCAGGAGCAGTATACTCTTGTTAACCACTGAGCCATATCTCTAGTCCCTTGGCTTGGTTTCTATTTTGTTGTTGATTTTGGTTTTGGTGGTCATGTTTTTGTTTTTGTTTGGCTTGGGATTTTGAGACAAAGTCTCAGCTGGCATAGACTGGCCAAGAACTCATAATGTTACCAGGCTGGTGTCAAATTCATTAGCCAGCCTTAGTCTACTGAGTGCTTGAATTAGAAGGATTCATCACATACCCAGCAGTCATAAGTCTCTGGGACAGTATCTAGTCCTTTGCCCATTTTAAACGTAAATTATGGGGAGGCTGGATGGTTCACTGGGTAAAGTATATGTCATGTGATCCTGAGAACAGTAAATCCCTATATCTCATCGAAAAGCCTGGTTGGGCATAGTGGCCTCCTGTAATCTCAGCAAGTGGGAGAAAGAGACAGAATTTCCAGGCTAGCCAAATTAAACTAAACATTTAGCTCTGGCTTCATCTTTAGACCCTGCTCAATATATAAGGTGGAAAGTTATCAAAGACAACTCCTACTGTTGACATGCATGAATATACACTAGCCTGTGTCAAGTTGGCATAAACAGCAGCCAACACAATTGACTCCTTGTCACCTTGACATACATCATTATTCAACTATCACCTTTCCTTTATTGTCTATCCCCAAGATCCCATATTAATAACATTACAATATAAAATATGAAAATAACTTCCAAGCTTCCAACCTTTCAGAATTCAAGTACTTTCATAGTTCAGTCTCTTTCAAACATTCAAAATCTCTGAGAACTTCCAAAGTCTCTAACTGTGGGCTCCTGCAAAATCAAAACTAATTTAAATACTGTTACTCAAAGACGAAGAGCCAGGCACAGATACATTCAGATCAAAGCTTTACACAGCATTGCAAAACTCAGTGTCAGGCTTCTGAGACTTACAATCTTCTCAGCTCCAAAGTCTTATCACAGGATACATGGTTCATGTCAGAGACTCAGGCCAGCTCCACTCCACAACTGCTGCTAACCTTGGAAGTCATGCCAAGGTTCTGGCTTCTCCAAAATGCAGAGATCTTCAATGTACCTAGGATGTACCTTCACCAACAGCCTCTCCTAGGCTCCCTTCTGGAACCCTAGCTGCCATGTGGTCCTAATCCTCAGCTTCTCTCCATGACCTCTTCTACATAAATTAAGGCTATATTTTCTTCACCATGGCCTCTCCTAGTCTCTCACAGTGCAAGCTTCTGCTGTTGTACTTGACCCCTGCGTGCCTTCTAAACCAGTACCACCTGGAAAACTCTTAACATATTACCAAGCTTGATAGCCCTTTCTGAATCATAGCTTCTTTGTGCTAACCCTGAAGAAACACTTCCCAGAAGAGTTTGCCTCAATGATGCTGCTGTCTTCTTAGTCACAGCTGATTCTTTAGCCCCAGCTGACCAGTATCAGTTATCACAGAAAAGCAAAGATTTCACATTAGTAGGTTCTTAATTCAGAGCACCGCATGAACCACCATGGTACTATCAGAATTTTGGTGGGATTTTGGAACTTTCAGGCCAGACCTCCATCATCTGTACTTCTTTCAGAATTATATTTAAGTTCCCACAACAGCTTGTTAAGCTCCAAAGCTCAGTGGCTTTCTGGATTAGAGTCCTTCTGTAATGATCCTCAAACATGTTCAGGTCTATCATTAGCAATACCCCACTCCTAGTAATAACCTTCTGTCTTAGTTACTTTTATATTGTTGAGATTAACACCATGAGCAAAAGCACCTTGAGGAGGAAAGAGTCTATTTCCTCCATCAGCTTGTACTCCATCATTCAGGGAGGCCTGGGCAGGAACTGAAGCAGAAGCCATGAAGGAACATGCTTATTACCTTGACCCTGCATGGCTTGCTCAGCCTGCTTTCTTATAGCTCCTAGGATACCAGTCCAGGGCTAGCACCACCCACAGTGAACTGGGCTCTTCCACATCAATCATAAATCAAGAAAACACCCCCACAGGCCAATGTGATGGGACATTTTCAGTAGTGGTTTTTATCTTCTAATGAAAGTCTAGCCTGTGTCAAGTTAACATAAAAACTCATCAGTACATAGTCCTTTCTCCTTCCTTTGATGCATCATTTTTTGTTTTTGTTTTTTATTTCTAATATTACAGTGTATCTATTCCTTTTAAATATTTATTAACTTTACGTTAGTGTTTGAGTGTGTGTCTGTGAACCACATGTGTGCCTAGTACTTGATGAAGTCAGAGGATGGTGTTGAGTCCCCTGGAACTGTAGTTAGGAGCGGTGTGGAACTGCCAGGCGGGTGCTGGGAATTAAACTCCAGTCCTCTGCAAAAATAGCTGTTCTTAACCACCCAGCCATCTCTCCAACCCTCATCTGTTTGCTTTTGTCCTGTGGTGATGGGGGAGACAAGATTTATGAATACCTTGCCAGGAGCATGGTGTCACATATTTTTAATCCCTGCACTAGAGAGGCAGAGGCAGGTAGATTTCTGTAAGTTCTAGGCTCCTTGGATACATAATGAGACTCTATCTCAGGAAAAAAAATTCTTTAACATCGTTTGGATAAAAAAAAATCCAAAGACATCCATATTTTCTTTAAATTTACTTCTAGGAATTTTATGCTTTTAGCTTTTGGGTATATTTTGACTTAATATTTTGCTTATATTGTGAAATAGGCTTTAAATCTGTTCTCTTTTATGCTCTAAATAGTCATCATACTTTATTTCACTTTGTGAAATAAAATTATTTGCTTTCTTATTTTACAAAAGAATCAAAGGCCAGTATGAGCTAAAACCATAAATCTTTTATAAGAAAACACATAAATCTTTATGACCTTTTATAATACCAAAATCATAAGTAACAAAAAGAAAAATAAATGGAGTGGGGTTCACCAGAACTAAAAACTGGTTTTCTGAGGGTCACCATCAAGAAACTGAAAGACAGCCCTGAGACAAAAACAGTGATGTCTAACATATGAAGAAGTCTTATGAATCATTAATAAAGCAACAAAGATACAATTTAAATATCGGTGGAGGATGTGAACAGTTATTTCCCCAGTGAAGAGCTACAAGTGGTCAAGAAACTTATGTGAGCATGCTTGAACTCAGAGGCCATGAGTAAAACCCAAAGCAACCCTCCTGGGAGAGTGAGCAAATTTTCAAAGATGTGGCAGTATTGAAACATTCCTTCTCTGTTGGTGAGAATACAAGATAATAAAGCCACCTTAGAAAACAGTTTGCATAGTTCCTCAACAAGTAAACATTAAACCCAGTAATTTCACTCCAGTTGAAAAATTCATTCCCCCCAAGAAACTTGTAAATGAATATTCTTAGCAAAAGTAGAAACAACCCACTGTCCATCAACAGAGATGACTGAGGAAACAAAATGTATAGCCATCCAATAGAATATTAAACCCATCACTCAGGAGCAGAGGCAGGCGAATCTCCCAGTTCTAGACCATCTTGGTCTATAGAGTAAGTTCCAGGACAGCCAAGGCAACTCAGAGAAACCCTGCTTCAGAGGAGGGGAGGGTAAGAGAGTTTATTGTTTTGTTTGTTTGTTTGTTCGAGCCAGAGTCCAAGTGAATAACCCTGACTTTCCTGATACTGTGTAAACAGGCTGGCCTTGAACTCACAGAAATCTGCTTGCCTTTGCCTCTCAGATGCCATCACACCCAGATTAAAAAGGCAGTTGTGATGCATGCAGTGTAAATGAACTTGAAAATGTACTGAGAAAGTACATACAGTGTGCCATGGGTTGTGTATACATTTAGCTGAAGTGTCCTGTGTTGGAAAATATTAAGGTGCCAAATCAGTGTTTGTCAAAGGAAGGAAATGGGGAGTGACTAGTGCATCAGAAGTTTCTTTTTCAAAAGAAAATGTTTTGGACTTTGAAAGAAGCAATAATTTTATAGTGTGAACACACTTAAACCCATTGGATCATATTTGTATATATATTTATATATATAAAATGTGGGTTTTGTTGTATGTGAAATAATTGATAATAAAATACTTTAAATTGTCATATGCCAATATGTTTATCCTTTAGTACAATACTTAATTCTTGCCCTAAGAAAATTATTTTCTTGTATTTTAGAAATTTGTCTTGGCATCCTGCCTTGAGCACTACAAGTAAAATGAGGAACCCGCACTCTCATGCATTTATTGATCTGACTGAAGATTTTACGGCAGGTGAGTTGCACAGAAGTGAAATGTTTGTTTGATCTACCCAAGAATGATGGTGTTTTTATACCCTTAGAAATCATTTCTTAATCCCATTATACTATGATCAAACCTTTAAAAAGCTACAGTGTTAATAAGTAGCAAAAGGTTAATATACTGGAAATAAGAGGAAGTGTTTTGTCTGGTAAATAGGACCTTATTTCATACCGCTTTTGTTGCATGCTAACTATTCTCCACTGTTTAGGAATTTTTAATAATTTGGATATATGTTGCTAAATATTTCTTTCCCTTTACATTTAAACTTTTTACTAATAAATACCATAAAATAGTGATTGAAAAACCCTTTAGCTTGTATACTGAAAGGGGGCATTTAAGAACTGCTGTTGGCCAGGGGTAGTGGCGCATGCCTTTAATCCCAGCACTCAGGAAGCAGAGGCAGGCAGAACTCTGTGAGTTCGAGGCCAGGCTGTACCAACAGCCTCCAAAACAATACAGAGAAACCCTGTCTCATAAAACCAAAAAAAAAAAAAAAAAAAAAAAAAAAAGAACTGCTGTTGACTGTGGGACACTTGCTGCCGGGTCTATTTTACCACTGGGATACTTCTTCAGGCCTGAAATCCTTTGTTGTGGGAGATTTTAAACAAAATACTGTAATATGTATACATTTACCCATTACCTAGCTTTAAGAATTGTAGGAGTGAACCCCACAAAGCTACCCGCCCAACAGGGCGGGGTTAAGGTAGAGATAAAAGGTAGTGAAAGGAAAAGGGGCCTCCCTCTTTTTCTCCTGAAAGCCAGCCACGCTTCTAACTCCTGGTATGTGCGACTCTCTCCCTGATAAATAAATATATTGTTTTTCCCTATATAGCCTCGATTATCGCTATAAAGAATATATATGTGCATGTATATATATGCATATATATAGATAGGTAAATTTTATATGTATACTACCTACATGTCCCTTCACCCCTGAAAACTTTAAAGAAAATCACAAATTATCATTTCACTTGTGAATACTTCAATATGTACTTCTAAATGATAAGGATATGAGTTTTTAAAGGTTTATTTGTTTTTACTTAGTGTGTATAATATTTTTGCCTGCATGTGTGTCATGTACCATATGCATGCTAGTAACCAAAGAGGCTAAAATAGGTCACTAGAGCCTGGAGTTCAAATGTTTGATAATAATATTTTAATAGAAAATATGTAGACATAATTTGGAATATCCCTATACACTCCTAATTTTTTAAAATTTTTATCCAATCTGGAGCTAAACAGAATACCATGCAAAGAAATGCTTCCAGTTTGCAGGTATATCTCTGTAGTAAGATTTTTTTTTTCTGTTTTGGGGGACCCTCTACCCAGCTTCCAAATGAATCACACATGGAGGCTTATTCTTAGTTATGAATGTCTGGCCTTAGCTTGGCTTGTTTCTAGCCAGATTTACTTATCTTAAATTAACCCATCTACCTTTTTCCTCTGCGCTTTTATCCTTCTCCTCTATAAATCTTCCTTTCCTTCTTAATCCATGCTGGCTGGGTCGCTGACCTCTGATGTCCTCCTCTCCTTGTTCTCTTACTGCTTCTTCTCATTTTCCCTTCTATTTATTCTCTTCTGTCTGCCAGCCCTGCCTATCCTTGTTCCTGCCTCACTGTTGGCCATTCAGCTCTTTATTAGACCGTCAGGTCTTTTAGACAAGCAAAGGATCACAGCTTCACCAAGTCACATAAATGCAGCATAAACAAAAGTCACACACCTTAAAATAATGTTCTACTGCACATCTCTTTTTCTGAGCTTGTTGTGGTGGTTTGAAAGAAAATGGCCCGGGGCATGGCACTATTAGGAGGTGTTGACTTCATTGTAGTAGGTATGCCCTTGTTGGAGGAAGTATGCCACTCGGGAGGTAAGCTTTGAGGTCTTATGTATGCTCAGTATCTTAGTTCACTTTCTGCTGCCTACACAAGATGTACAACTCTCAGCTACCTCAACAACACCATGTCTGCCTGCATGCTGCCATGTCTCACCATGATAATGGACTAAACCTCTGAACTGTAAGCCACTCAATTAAATTTGCTTTTCTTTGTAAGAGTTGCCATGGTTCTGGTATCTCTTCACAGCAATAGAAACCCTAAGATATCTGTCCTCGTGGTATTTCTGGATTACTCTGTTTCAGTAGTTAGATTTAGAGTCTTGACCATAGTCTTGTGTTTTAGGTCATTAAGAAAATGTGTAAGTCTTTTTTATGTTGTAATGTTAAAATTAAATAGTCTTTTCAATTTACTGGTCACAGATCATTATAATCCTGTCATAGTTCCAGCAAGTATGGTAGTTGTTGTCAAAGTCATTGTTTTAGTTGAAGTGGCAACTATGTCATTCACCCCTCTACAAGTATTAGCTGGAATTGTCTGTTAGTAAAAAGAACTGCTGCCATCATCTCTTTAGTAACCTGAAGTACAATTGAGATAGGCAAAATAAATGACTAAAGGTGTTTATTCTCCCACTCCATCATTTTGGGGCAGTCAAAGACTCACAATCCAAATTTTCAATTACATTGTAAACTATTAAGTCAGGCCTGGTGACTGCTAACAGTAAATGTCTTCTTTTAAAAATATTCTATAGCCAGGTATGCTAGTGTTTGTTTATAACCCTAGCACTCAGAGCCAAGTCAGGAAAATCACAAATTCCTAGCTAGCCTGGGCTATACAGACTATCTAAAAAACCAAAAAGAGTGTTCCATGGCTGGTAAAAAAAGCACAGTAATTAAAGGCACTTGCAGCCAAGCCTGATGACTTGAGTTAAATCCCTAGGACCCAGATGGGAGAGGAAGAGAACTGACTCCTGGAAACTCCCCTCTGACTTCCCATGTTTGCCATGGCGCATGCAACACACACAAAAGGAACAATAATGTTTACCAAAAAAAAAGTATTCTGTGATGAAACACTTAAATTTTATTTGAGTCAGGAAATAAGATGTCATAACTATATGTTAGTTGTTTGTTGACTGAATCATAATAGTACATATCATTGTTAGCGTATGATTTGCAATGTTAAGTAAAGTGCAGCGCCCAAGCAAGTATGCTCTGCATCTGACCAATTTAAAATAAAGAAAAAAGATTCCTGTCTGGTAAAGTTTATTTTTAATTAATTTTTATTTAAATTAAAAACAATCTTATTTTATATACCAATTCCAGTTCCTTCTCCCTCTTGTCCTCCCAATTCCCCCACTAAACCCCCATCCCACCCACCCTACCCCACCCCCATCCCACCCCACCTCAGGGAGGGTGAAGCCTTCCATGGGGAATTACCAAAGTCTCTCACATCATTTGGGACAGGACCTAGGCCCTCCCCCATGTGTCTAGGCTGAGAGAGCATTCCTTTATGTGGAATGGGCTCCTAAAGCCCATTCTTACACTAGGGATAAATACTTATTCTACTGCCAGAGGCCCCATAGACTGGCCAGGCCTCCTAACTGACATCCACATGCAGGCTGCCTAGTTCCGTCCAATACTGGCTCCCCAGCTGTCATACTGGGGTCCATGAGCTCCCACTTGCTCAGTTCAGCTGTTTCTGTGGGTTTTCCCAGCATGGTCTTGAACCCTTTGCTCATCACTCCTCCCTCTCTACAACTGGATTCCAGGAATTCGGTTAATTGCTTAGCTGTGACTCTCTGTTTCCATCAGCTACTGGGTGAATGCTCTATGGTAGCATTCAATGTAGTCATCAATCTCATAGGGGAAGGGCATTTAAGGTAGCCTCTCCACTATTGCTTGGAGTCTTAGTTGGGGTCATCCTTGTGAATCCCTGGACATTTCTCTAGTGCCAGATTTCTCATTAAACCCACAATTGCTCCCCCTATAAAAAAGTATCTCTTTCTTGTTCTCCTTGTCTGTTCTTTCCCCAACTCAACCTTCCTGATCCCTCGTGTTCCCCTCTCCCATCCCCTTCTCCCCTCCTCTTTCTCCTACCTCTGTCCCTCCTCCCCCCATGCTCCCAATTTATTCAGGGGACCTTGTCCCTTTCCTCTTCTCTAGGAGGAGGGGTCCCATGTATGTCTCTCTTATGCTCTTCCTTGTTTCCCAGCTTCTCTGGTGTTGTGGATTTATAGACTGGTTATCCTTTTTGCTCTATGTCTAATATCCACTTATGAGTGAGTACATACCATGTTTTTCTTTTTGTGTCTGGATTACCTCACTCAGGATAGTTTCTTCTAGTTCCATCCATTCGTCTGCAAATTTCAAGATGTCATTGTTTTTATTTTTTTCCAGTGAGTAGTACTCCAATGTGTAAATGTACCACATTTTCTTTCTTTCTTTGGTTGAGGGGCATTCACAGCAGTATTATTTGTAGTAGCCACAACCTGGTTAAGTTTTTTTATGGTTCTAACTTGCTTGGTTCTTGCATGTGCATTTGGAGCAAAAGCACGGCATTGACAAAATAGCAGTTTTCTAGTGTAGCTTGTCTAGTTTGCCAAATCGTAGAAAACCACCAGGAACGGTTCTGAGTGTATCGTAATGAAAGTCAGTCTTAAACTCATTTTTTTTTTTCAGAAAACCTCCAGGAACGGTTCTGAGTGTATTGTAATGAAAGTCAGTCTTAAACTCATTTTTTTTTTCAGAAAACCTCCAGGAATGGTTCTGAGTGTATTGTAATGAAAGTCAGTCTTAAACTCATTTTTTTTTCAAAAATGGAAATACTTTAGTTACTGGTTCACTTGCTGTTACTTTTCTCACAGTCCCCCTCCTTGCTCAAAATTCTTTTGTTAGGAAAGGCTTAACTATCAAAGTAGTATTAGATTTCCTTAAATAATAATGATTTGGCATTGAAATGAGTTCTTAAAAATTGTAGGGAATTTTTATACAAGCAGCAAAATATACCACGTGAATTTCATGATGAAAGAATTCATAGGAATTTTGATTTTTGAATTAAGTAAGTAATTTATCGATGGGTGTTTTAGTTAATGTTTATGTTGCTGTGTACAGGCACCATAACCATGCAATTCTTATGAAGGAA